TATGTATTTTGTGGAAATGTAATGTAGTTTATGCTGAATGTCAATAAAAATATGTAAAAAATACTTTTAATACTATTTATTATTTATCTATGACCACATATGTATTTATTTGTAATTAATTATGCTTATTAATTAATTAATCAATTTCCTGTGTCACTTTTTAGGACCCCATGTTTAAGAAGGTGACTGTTTAAGCTTTAAAAACACACATGCAATGACTTCCAATGGCCACTGGGGGGCGCTCCCTCTCCATGAATGAGTGAACTCCTCTGGCTGTAGTTGCACATATGGCCGACAGGTGGCGGTGTAGCACAGCGCAGGGAGCTGAGGGAAGGTGAGCTGGGTCAGATGTTGCTGCTTCTCTGCCCGAGGCCGTGCTGCCGCTTTGAACTTGACCGTGAACGCAACACAGCAACATATGAACCCCATAAAGGAACCGAGCAGACTGAAAACGGCCATAATTAATTAAAATGACTCGTTTTATTAAATATATATATACATATACGTAGAGTGTTTGAGATCAGATTTATCTTTATTTTGTTGAAAGAAAAGGAACCCACATTTTATTTAAAGGGGGTTTTGAGCTACTTTGTGTTTCTGTGTCTTAATGAGATGAAATATTTGGTTTGGTCCGGGTTTTCTTCTTGAACCGGACAGGGAGCTCGGACCAGCCTCTTTGTGCACAGATTTCTGGGAACGTGGGACAAAAAAAAGCACCAGAAGAAAAGAGCTTTAGGGAAGATAGAGGACTAATTAGAGAGTGAAGGAGGGAGGGATGGACGGAGGCTGTCAGAAGATGTGGTTGCTATAGATACTTGGCATAATGCCAGGTGGAGGCAGGGCCAATTTGCATTTATTCAGATGATGGCTGCTCTCGCTCTCTCTCTCTTTCTCTCTCTGAAATAACAGCCATTTCTTCCTTTTCAAATTAATTCTTTACTCAATTTCCTTAAAAAAAAGAAAGAAGTAATTTCAATGCAAAACCCAGTGAAAATTGCTTAAAAAATATAACATTAACCCATTTAAGCTTGACAGAAAAATACATGTGCCAATTCTGATTGTGCCACAAAACAAAATGTTGTTCTGTTAGAAAACTAAGTTTTTTTGTTTTTTTTTATCATATTAGAGCAGATTGTTGTTTTTTCTTTTTCATTTTTTAACAATACCTATTTTTCTTTTATTGAAAATACAAGAATAAAATACTGCAAGCATACTGTACTCTGGGCCTTTGGATTGTTTCATGTGGGCCCAAATGTGCTTCTCAAATTAAGCTTAAAAAAGAAAATGCAGCATTGTTTTTAGATAAAAAGCTCAATATCAAAAGCTAAATAAAATAATTGCAATTTTGCACTAATAGGCTTTTCATTATTAAAGCAGACATTTTATATGAATTAGCCTTTTTAAGGAGTCTGACCTGTACTGTAGATTAGTTAGCTGATATTGTGTCTATAGACAATTATTTCTTTATTTCCAGTTGGAAACCAGGAAGAAACTAAAAACAATCAATTGAAAGAAGTCTATTATATTACTGAAGTCTTAGTAATGTTTATTTTTATGCAATTAAAAAAAATCAGCATTTACAATTTCCACTCTAAATTACGCTGCTAGATGTAAAAGAATTTAACATGATACAGTAATAAACATTTTCCCTGCTTTAATTATAAATGTGAGCGTACTGTGTCGACGTTAACTGTAAATATATTTAGTATGAAAACTGAATAAATTCTCTGGAGAAAAATGTTAAAGTCAATGTTCTCTTTATTGACCACATAAATATATTTATACACAACATACACACACAAAGTTTTACAGCAATACAGCAGGGTGTTTTTCAGCTGACTCAACCTTCACATCAACACAGAATATAGAGCGATAACTCTGACTTTTAGTATAAAAAATAACAAAAAAACACCATTAATTACTGAAAAATATTTTTCTTTACTTGTGTGTTGTGTGTTTTTCTTCAGAACACACAACAGGATAAATTACAGCAATTAAACCTGGATGTATTTAACAATCAGTCACATATCACTTTACATCAGTTAACAACATTAATATATTTAGAAAAATAAAATACAATATTCACTTTCATTATTATATATTTTAATATATTAATTCTTAGCAGTAAAACACATCGTAAGGCACAGCTTGTGGAAAAAAGAAAATCATGTCTGGTTCTAAAAGTCTCTGTTTGTCAGTATCTTTTTCTTGAATTTGGTCCAGATTTAGTGATTCACCTTTACGTGTGTGTGTGTGTGTATGTGTGTGTGTGAGTCAATTCAGAGGCAAAGTAGAGACTGTCCATCACAAAATGTTTGTATCAGAGGATTTAATTGTACAGCAGAAAATCATCAAAAAATTTTAAATTGTTCAGGTCCAATCCGGCCTGAAGTCCGTTTCTTTGAGCCAAAAGTCGTTCAGCCAATCAGTGATTTCCCACCGCATCAGCAATCTGTGGAGAGACAGGAAGACAGAGGAAATTAGAGACAGAACTGGGACACAAAAAACATAACAAATTTGTCCTGTACAGCCAGGATCATAAAGGCAAATGAGCTAAGATGTACGAACACACAAGCCTTCGCGTCACAGTACTGACGCAGCAGATTTGGACTAAAATAGAAAAAAAAGGGAGTGGAGGGAGATACAGAAGGGACTCCCTCCTCATGACTACCAATATCTGTCTGTGTTTGAGTCTACACTCATCCACCTCTGACCTCTAAAGTCTGGAGCGTCAAGAGGACACACAGTCAGCAGGGACCCCACAAATATGCCCGAGGGAAAAGACACACACACACACACACCCCAACAAGACACACTTCAGCTGTCTGGTTTTTGCACCGTCATGACTGAGAAAGATAAGGATCTGACCAGCAGAGATAAGGGACTTAATCCTAATTTGTCCAGACTTTAATCATGATCATAAATGAAAAGTAACAAGAGGACAGACCTTTGCATTAGCTTTTGTACTTTCTTATTATTCAGCGAAACCTTCAATAAAACCTACAATTACTTCAGGTTCATAGGTTTTAAATGCCAGTTTCTTGTTTCTCTTAATGCTCCAGCAGTACAGATTGATGGACAGTAAAAATCAAGGTGTGTGTGGGTTGTGAAGAGGAGGAGGAGAAGGAGGAGGTTGTGATTGAGGAGATCAGAGCTGGACTACAGTCCCTGGATAGATGCAGTGTTTCAGACATTGGGCAATTATGAGGGGCCTTCCTGAGCCTGTAGGGCTCTCCAGGGCTCTTCTTCTGCCCACGCTGTCCCAATAACTGGCTAATGTATGCAGAGGGGAGCCTACAGTCCTGTCTTTACACCAGACACACAGAGCGTAACTTGTAAAGAGTGCAGTATTGTTTAATATTTAAGTTTTGATTATTTCGATAAAAGCAGGAGTGAAGGGGGAGTCTTAACAAGATTACTGTGACCCTTAAAATGACATAACAGCAACAAAAATAGGAATATGAGCTATACAGGAGGTCAGCGGCAGTTTGCAACATGACTTATTTTAGCACATTATTCCTTCTCTGTTTGCTGTTTTTTCTGCCTCCCTCCTCTGGACACTGTCATATAATCCTAAAATAACACATGTTTTATATCTTTGTGAAAAGCATCCCTTTGTCTCCTCCACACTAATATTTGTTGTCTTTGATTTTGCAATTTCTTAAATGGAGACCACACACAGCGAGGGGCAAACCAGACCTCCAATGCAAGTCCATCAAAATTAGAATGAGGCAGACTCTCATCTCCGTGCTTTATTCACTAAAACCAAAGCTTTCAGCCTTCATTAAAAGCTATTTTAAATGAAATTGAGTATTTATTGATGATTCATAAGTCACATGACTGATTAATGGACTTTATATAATAAATGACAGCTGAAAACATATGAACATAGCATGATTTATAGGAGAAGAGTTGTGCGACATGTTCTGATTTTGATGGACTCGATTTATCCAAAACTGATTTTAATCAGAGCTGTAAACTTGACTTTTAGACTGCTATGGGGCT